AATAAAACAAAAAAAACAAAAAAAAAACACCAAAACGGGCCAAATACACATAAAAAACCAAGAATGTCAGTTGGGTCCAAAGGTCTAGTATACAATACAACAAATCTATAATATGTCAAGTCCTTTCTTGTTTGGGTTTTAAAGTGTTAGTCCTCAAGATTATCGCATTTAAAAACACTCGCACTGGCAATTTGATAGCAATAGGAATCCAACGTACCACTAAGTTTGGCAGACATTTAACACACAGGAACTGGTACATGAACACAGGGGGAATTAAATATTATAAATGTGGATTTAACAGTTGGATTATTTCTCAGATTAAACACTCAACTTTTAACCATGATGTTACCTTTGACACTGAAGGCATACTGCTGGCCTCTACAGTCGATACACCTCAAAGTATTACACTATTTGAGTACCTGCTGACCAACGCACGCTCGATGTGACCACCAGTTATCGCAGGTTCCGCTAAACCCACCGAAGCAAACAGACAAAGCAGAATGTACAGTATCACAGTACAGGATATAGGTCTGCAATCTGATCATTGGCACACAGTGCTGTCACACAGAGAGAACTTAGCACTCAGAGCTCCACAGTGAAAATGTCCATGTCTTCTAGTGCCACTTAATATTTTCTTATACCAAATCTTTCAATAAAGTTAAATCAAACCAAAACAGCTGTTCGTATGTAATCAGTTTTTTAATTAGCTATGGTAATGGAGCTATCTGGCATGGTCTCGTATTGACTCAATGATCAATCAATACCATCAGTATGTTATTTAAAGACGAGCTGCGTCCAGCATCATCAACATATTTGGCATCAGGCAAAAAAAAACTACTACTGTGGCCTGGATGTAATGAACACAAATCAGTCTTTTGCAGCCTTAAAATAAAGAAAAATTAAAATGTGTTTCTATCTTCCACCAATTACGTTGGCTACACAGAGAAACTATTCTTAGTGTAACCCTGCTGTGAATTGTGAAGACACAACCTAACAGGCTGCATATAGTTTTGGCATTGATCAAATCGGTGTAACACATAAAAGAGAGTGCTTACACAGTTGGCTAACTTTGCTTGCATTTTATTCACACTACTGCTTTCATTCCCCAGTGCCAAACAGACAGATGTGTCAGGTCTGTCGTAAGAAAGATTGACTTTATATTGATTGTCTGGGATTGATTTTATGATTAAAAGACAGAGGATGGGGTTAAACCGAAAACTATAATCTGGTCTAATGAGGATTTGAAACACTGCAGTGGTATCGAGGAGCAAAACATCAGTGGCACTGAATCAAACAGTTCACCAGGAGCACCTGTATCAACCTCAAACTGAAGATAAAAAAGCCCTCGCCACTGTTTAGCTGATGAGTGTATTCAGCTGTATTGTGGAGGTCAATTTTTCTAAAGAGAAAAACAGAGTTCATTCTGTGATTCTTTTTTCTGAAAGCTACCATTCAGCCACAAGTATCAAAGGCAAATATGACTGCAATACGACTTTCAGGGTTGTTTCTATGCCAACATTCTTCTGATTTCCATTATTTAGCAGCTTTCGTTTTATAATTCTAAACATCTTACATAAAGCCAGGAACGCAACTGTCAAACAAACAACTTTCAGCCAGCGCAGTTTACCTTCTCCTCACAGCTACTGTGGCCTCATTAAACACTAAATAAATTGAAGGTGAACGCTTACATGTGACAAACAACCACAACCTCTAGGGTCTGCTTTGGTGTAATTCCCCTTTAATTCCCACGTTGCTCTCGTGTACTGTAGCTGATGCGGCTGACAGCGCCCAAATGCATATTAGCGTGTATGTGTGCTCACCGCAGTGATGGGTGAATGAATCGACCAAGCGTGTGTGAAAACACACCGTCTGGCCTCCCGCTCTCTCTCTGCTGCAGCACACACTGTGGCCGTACAAACACACACCTACACATACACACGGCAAGAGCTGTATTCCTTGCAATGTACCAATGCCTGAATTAGCACCTTTGTCCATGCCAGACGAGCACGCATCCAGGCAGCAGAGCCCGAGAAGACTTGCTGCTAACAGGCATGGCTGCGAATACTCTTAGGGAGAGCAACTGAAACATGAGCTGAAAACAAAAGAACATCACCGCTGTATCTCCTCACACACACACACACAAATCGTTCCTAAGCTCACAGGCTTAAACTCGTTTTCTGGACTTTCCTTCAGATTAAAAAAAAAAAAGGGGGTGATAAACAGATATATAAATTGGATTCAGCTTGTATTTTTTCTCCTTTTTTTGCATTTTTTAAATAAAACCACCCCTCTTCTCTTTCCAATACGTACAGAAACGTAGTTCGATTGTACTCATACCGCAGGAAATAACACAGTGCATTTATCAGGCGCAAACTCTTTGACAATCATCGGTAACAAGTTTCCTCTCCCTCGGGAGGCTTGGCAAAAATCACACACGAAAAAATAAAAAATTAAGAATTTAAACCAAAAAAAAAGGGAAACTGAATAATTGTCTTATGTTTTAGGGTCAAAAAGTAGGGGAGGTCAGGGGAAAAGCCAAGCAAACTTTAGTTTTTTCCCCGTCTGCCACCGCACCGTCAGTCAGAACTCACCAGCATCTCTCCAACGGCTGGTAGGTCAGTTTCCCAGCATGCCCAGCAGGGGTTAAAGAGCAGGGTTGGTGGGGTCGGGGAGATCATAAACCATGCCAATGTACATATTAATATTCATTTCAACCCCTGACCTCATCAACCCCACGCTGTCAGAGAAGCTTTCATCTGGCCGTCCAGATGAAATAAAGCAAAACAAAGGAGTAAAAGAAGGGCTCTGTACAAGCTCACTCAGCCTCCACTGACTCACTACGCTGCGGTTCGGATGCCTCGCCACGCATACATTCAATATCAAAACAACAGTGTTACCGGAGTTTGGGGAAGGAAAAGAATCACTTTCTCCAAACAAGATTACCCCCTTCCCCCCACCCCCCTCCCCAGGGAATGTCTGTGATTGATTATGGTAAGAAAAGGGCCTTAGTGACAGTACACACTCTTAAAAACAGAAAACTAAAAAATAAAGGCTGAAACAAGCAGGTCTTGAAAGGTTGCAGAGGAATGAAGAGGTGTGTGGGGGGGCTATTTATCAACCTCCTCCCTCTGCTACCTTTCTCTCCATCTTTCAATCTCTCTCTACCATTAAAGGAAGGAGGAACAACCCAAAGAGAGGCATTCTGGGCCGCTGAGAGAGACAGAAATGTGGACAAACAAAGGAAGGGAAGCAGAACAAACTGAGCAAAAGAGGTGTAAAAGAAGAAATAGATCCCCAAACACATGGCGGCTAGGGGATGAGCGACAACTGTCATCACGACCACTGTGGTCACCGCTCTCAACTCATCGCCCCAGAGAAATGCCATCCCTCCCTACATCAATCTGTCCATCTGTCCATTCATCTATCTGTCCGTTCACTCACTCAAAACAAAGTGCTGCCGTCTCCTGCCCCCTGGAGGGTGTCTGCTTGCGTGGCTCCGCCTCCCACTTCGTTATTGTTGCCAGCCACTGCTGCCGCCACCGCCACGGCTTCGAGGGAGGCGGGGTCAAAGCCTTGCTCCGCCCCCAGCCCGTCGGCCTCCATTTTCACGCTGTCGGCCAGGAAGGCGGAATAGGCGTCGCTGTCGGCCATCAGCAGTTTAAGCTTGGGAATCCAGCTCTTGCGGACGACGCGGCGGGCGTTGGTGCACATGTCAGCCGCGATGGCGTTCATCTCGCTCTCCTTGAAGCTCGGCGCAAAGTTCTGGCAGTAAACTGTAGGAAGGAAAAAGGGAAAGAGAGAAAGATGAAGAAAGAAACACTGAAAAACACCAAAGGCTGAATGGTTGGTGAGGAGCAATGGGGACTTTGCATGCGGGCAGCTCCACAGTCGCACTGAGATGCAACTCTCAGTATTTATAGTATCAGAAACAGTGTGTATCTTTCTGTGACTTACATTTGACAGCGTGCAGCACTCTGTTGTCCAGGGGTTTACGACTGGGGTCATTGGTTGAAGAGCGAATGCCAGTTCCACAGCTGTTAGCCAGAGTGCTCCTGGAAGGAAAGACAAAAAAATACATCAACACATAAACAAGATACCGGATACACACAATATAATGTTATACAGAAAGAGAATCTTCACAACACAATCTTCAAAATCAGACAGGAAAAACTGATTCAACGACAAAAGTGGTCTAGGTGTAGTCTAGTTCAAAACACTGACCTGTCAAAGAACGCGGCCAGCAGGCGTCTGAGCAGCACTTTGTGGCGGGTGCCGGCGCTGACGTGGCAGTTCATGAGCTGGGCGCGGGAGATGAACACGGAGGTGCCGCTCACCAGCTCCAGCTTCTCGGCTGGGTCACCCTCCTCGTACAGCTTCGGGTGGCAGCGGTTCCCGATCTGGCTGATGAGCTCAGCGGGCAGCGACGCCAGGTCCTGCCGGGACCGTGCCCCCCTTCCCCCCCGTCCGCCACCTGAGTCTGGGGCCAAGTCCGGAAGAGCTTCCACCCGCTCCCCGACCACTATGGAGGAGGATGGATTGTTATCAGTTTTTCTACTTACATTTAGGGCTGGGTATCTTTTGGAGACTTTACTTAACTAGTGCAATAGTTTCAGAGCAGATACAAAGTCAAAAGTAAAAAGTAGTCATACACAAACTTTGCCAAAATAAAAGAGTCTAAAATTGACAAACTTGCTGTTTATAAGTCAATCATAGCTTTCACACATTTAGAGCAAAGAAAAGGGAAACCATGTGTCGGTGCATGTTGACTGGAAGAACAGCTCAATTGTTGATGACACTATTCAAATGATTGTATGCACATTTCTCATATATTTTGAATAAACTTCTGTTAGTATAACTGTCAGTGTTTTGAATATTTAATTCAAACCATTCCATGTGAGTGAGTCCTTTTGATTAAACAAAGTATAAACAATTCATAAGCTTAAGGCAGGATTCAAAACTGTCAGTGGTTTCAGTCTTTTAAACATTTCGTTCTCCACAACATACTCCACTCCTGAGAAGTTTGGATGAGCAAACTTTCCAAGACTGGTACATGTAAACACACTACAGCAAGAGCCGAAGATCAGAGGACAGAAACTCGAGATAAAACACAGTGCCCCTAAAATGAACTCCCACTCACAGAGCTTACCTGCCGCTCCAGCGTTCAGCATGCTGTACATTGTGTACATGTTGCAGATCTGTCTGTACTGCTCTTCGGCGCTGTCATCTGCTATGTCGTCTTCTTCCTCGTCGTCGTGGTAACTGATTGGTGAGTCGCTGGTGTACATGCTCAGTGTGCCCGGGCTAGTGCCTTCAGGGGTCCCGCCGTTGTTGTTGTTATTGTTGTTATGGTTACTGTTGAGTCCGGCAGCTCCCACTGAAGTGGCGCCGCCGCCGGCCAACATAGCGGCGTTGGCTGCAGGTCC